ATCAACATTATTCGGTACTATTGTTGGTGCAACTTCCGTCATGTATATTCACTTGTATTTTTTAGTATAGAGTAAGAGAACATCAACAATTCATAACTAAACATTAAAAAATTAGGAAGTGTTCATGAGGGTTTAATTCTGTTCACCAATTTATTTACTTTTTTATTATTCTCCTTAGTTCCATGATCGTTTGTGCCACTGTAACAAAGACTTGCCCATTCAAATGAATTACTATATAACTTATTTCTGTTAACGTGCTTCTCATCGAAGAAGGCAAAAGGCCATGTTCAATAGATGTGCATGTCCTTGATTTGTGCAATATGGCCTCCATTCTACATGCTGCCCTGGAGATACGGACATTATGCAGCTAAATCAGCTACATATTTACAAGACCGTGGTTAAGACTAAGATGTGGTTTGCATTCAAACTGCCTCCTATTTTAAAAAATTCTAAAAACATTTTTGTGAATTACATGTCACATGCAGAACACAAAATGGTATGGTAGAAACCATTTTGCTTGCACTCTTTTAGAATGATTTGGATAACATTTGTAGCTTCTGTTATCTCAGCAATATGGTCATCTTAAAGTTAAGCAGACTAAATCATTGTTTTCCATTCACTTATCACCAAATCACTGCATCACTGTAGTTTTTGTTCCATTGCTTAAATTGCAGATGATATGCGATTTAAAATAGCAGTAGGAAATGAAACTAAAGTAAGCCCAAAGTCTTCTGCTTTCTAGGTACTGCTTTTTATGTAGAATTGGTGAACTTTGAGCTTATAAAAGGTTCTCCTGTATAGCTTACATAGTGAAGTTTATACCCATAAATAATCTTATTTTCTTTTCATCATAAGAAAGCATTGCATTAGGCCCAAAATAAGGAACTAAAATCTCAGGTTTGTTGTACCAGTCAGACGGTAACCGGGCAGAGACATTAGGGAGGGGTAAGCACATCTTAATACCATTTACAACTTGCTAGCATTCAGTACCATGTCTCTATTGGCATAACTGGACATACCAGCTCACACTGTGCAGAGGGTAAACAAAGAAGTGAGCACAGAAGAGGACTGTATACAAAATTATCATTATCTCTGATCAGCAGAGAATTTTTAGTATCATTTTTGGACATGTAGAATTAGCCCATCAAATTCTACACCTTGGTTTAGTCAATAACGTAACTTGAGTTTATTATTCCGTTTCAGCTTTGATCTGAATTCATCAGTACTTCATTGATTTTAAATTGAGTGGCTATAGTGTTGTCTTCTGTGTTGCTCTCTTAATTAATTAAAAAGTTAAACACTGTTGTAAGTCACTATACTCTTTTGTTTTAAAATGTTTTGAGTATTGTAGTAGAGTTGTGTAGATCTGTTTGTGATTTTGCCTATGTTCAGACAGTATTTATGTAAGGCTAAACTGAAAAATCTAATGATCATTCTTAGCAGCCCACTGTCGCAGTACTTACTATGCTCCATGTAAAATCACTCCTGCAACTTTTCATGGTCTCAGCCAAAATTATGTTTACCAAAATTGGAAATAGCCAAAATCTTCACTAGGATTGGATATAGATACATTTACATATTTTTTCTCTCTATTAATTTTTGAGTATAGGCAAGTGGAACTGGTTTTAGACATTTTTAATCATTGCAATAAGCCTGATTAGCTGGTTAGGTTTCTTAGATTATAACATTAAGTCTCTAGCCTAAGGAGACCTCTCAGGTAAAGTAGTCTTGCTTTAGATTTCATGTGGAGAAAACAAAAAATGGTTGTTAAATACAAAAAAATTCTGAAACTTGCATCGTAAAGCTTAACTGCATAGGATGGTTTTCCTCCCTGTCAAGCTACTAAGCAAAAAAAAGGTTTTTTTTTTAATAAAATTACCAGTTTTACCTTTGCCTGATAGTTCTGTAAGGTAAGTGTGTATGTGAGTACTGTGCTTACTTCCTTAAAGAATGAGGAAATAATTATAGTCTCCCAACTCCTGCCATTATCGTTCTGGATCTCAAAATGCAAATAGCCAGGAAAAGATGAAATTGGTTCTTAACTAAGGTTTCATATAGGTATGGCCTACCCAGTGTGATTCCCTGCAGGCATGGCCATTATAGCTTTCCATTCCTTGAACAGGCAGCCAAATTAAAGACTGTTTTCACTTTTCGTGAAACAATGTAATGATATTTGTACAGTATACACCCAGTCTTTTGTTCTTATAATTTTTCCTGAACCCTTATGACTATTTTTCAAAGCAACACTCTAGCTTCTTTTTCCGTCTCTCAGTGTGCATGTTGGTAATGAGATTCACTCTTTACGATCTAAATGTTTACAAACACAAAAAGGTTTGGGGTTGTTTTTACAGTTGTGAATCTTCATATCAAATATCATACTTTTTAAGGAGCTAATATGTACTTTTTGGGTGCAGTGGTATTAATGGCATATGTTTACCACAATTCAGCCATTTTAAAAAATGGCTTTTGTATTTCATTGTGCAGTGTGTGTCAGGCCCCAATACTGAAATGGAGAATTTGAAACTAATAGGGTTAAAAGGACTTCCACTGTCTGTATTGTGTGTGTATTATACCTACATTGCTTATACATTGTTTTTTTCCCCCTAGTATTAGCAATCTGCTTTTGTACTTTGACATAGGGATTTCCCTTGTGAATTTTGTCACAGAAAAAAGAGAATCATCAATATCGCAGTTAAACTTGACTTTCAAAGCTAATAGTATCTCATTTGGGGGCTGAAATTTAATAAATTTTCTTTGATTCTGGGTGAGTTTTTAAACATCAAACAATGAATTGGCCAGGGTGCAGTAAAATATTTAGATCTATTGACTATGGTTCAGAAGGGTAGAAGGCAAAACACTGGTGGTTTGATGTTGATAAATTCTTAGTACCTTAATCCACATTAATGTTTTCTTTTATCTGTGTGCATACTGGCAGCAAAGACACTGAAAAGTTGGGATATATAAGCTGTAAAAATGTAAATCAAGTGTATGTATGTGTGTGTGCGTGTGTGTGTGTATGTGTATTTAAAGTAATGCATTTTGTTATATTCAGCAAGGTTAACATCTGACTGGAATTACACATGCTAACAGAACACTCTAGAGAGTATGTTTGTTCCACAGGACTGTATATCCTGAACCTAGTGCACTATGTGTGCAAAAAATGTGTAGAGGACCTTTCCTGTTATAAAAATTGCATCATAGTGCATATGTTTGGCAGCCACAGGTATTGACAGGAATTCTTTAGGTCAACTTGGGAAATGTAGGGCTCCCTATTCCCACAGAACAGAGCAACGAATAAAATAAAATCTTTTCTTCTTTGTATCAGCAGATTTACACATGCATACTTCTTTCAGTTAGAAAGATTATTATTATTATTTGAAATACATTCACTCATAATCATCATTTTACAAAAATATAATTTTGTAAGTGGTTACAAAAAAGTAATCTGGGCTTTAAAATGAATGGACATATGTTTTATTTCATGTTTACTGAGTTCTTTTGGGCAAGGGAGGCTCTAAGAAAAAAATGAAATTTATTTTAAATTGTATTTTGTAAATGGTATATCTATTGATTTATACATATTTAGTATATATTTAGTATATGTTTTAGTATCAGACTGTGTATTGTTGTTAAAGACTGTAAATTGTTTTTGCAGTACTAGCCATTGCTACTCAACAGATACAGTCTATGCCAAATGAATGTATTTCATCTATTCATTTGTACTAACATATATTTGTATGTGTGTCTATCCATCTGCATTAGAATCTAATCTGACTACTGGGATCTCCTGGAGGTGGACATGATCATTTTTGTATTAAATAGAATGAAAAATAGGTGTGTGGCAGCGTATGGTGTATGAATGTAAGTGATGTGTCCCTGTAAGTTACGTGTTAAATACGTATAATTCCACATCCCTGCTGACAGACTAATTACATGTTGTAATACGCGGAAAAATTTTGCGTTTTAAATCATGATAACAGTATTCGTCTCGTGTGCAACACTAGTAAGTCTGGTTGTGTTTAAAGACAAAAGCGTTAATCACTTCACATTGCTGAGTGTTTTTCTACCGACGCGTTTGCGCCACGCTGACGGCACGCGAGTGTGTGAATTAAACCCAGTTTCCGGCGTAGTCAGCAGGTGGCACTGCGACACCAACGGCCTTCCGCTGCGTCGCTGGCCGCGCGGAGGCACTGCTGGGAGGGGGTGGTGGTGGTGGGGGGTGTTTTAGCCTTTCCTTTCAGACTGCCTGCAAAACTAACGAAATATCAAACTGTCTGAATTTTGTGCAAATTGTAGCATTTCCCACTCCAAATTGGCATGGTTAGAAACTGTATAAAAGTCGATTAATGCCAATTAGTGCATTATTTCTTATAGCGAGTCCAGAATAAGAAATCTAGTAGCAGGGGTTTGGGTTTTGTGTAGGTTGTTTTTGGTTTTTTTTTGGTTTTTTTTTTCCTCCTTCTGTTAATTGCAGAGCTACAGGTTGGTTTATTTTGCTTTGTTTGAGGATTATTCATTTTAATCTGGTGTTTAACTGAATTGATATTAAATGAACCTTATTGTTGAGGACTGATACAATCTCCCTATGGTAGACAGAACTCGCATGCCAGCTTCTTGTTTGTAAGATCACATGAACTTTTCCGTTTCATAGCTGATGTTTGTTTGAGTCAGAAGTACAATTACTATTTCTTTTCTCACAAGGTTTTTACAGGGGACGGATCTGTGAAATGTATATACCAGGTGGGCTTGTGAGCCCTTAGTGTCTCTTCTTCCTTCTCGTTTCAGACCAGGGGAAGATGCTTTTTCTTCTTAACATTCTCTCCCAGCACTCTGAATTAGAGATTTATTTGCAACGAAAAATCAATTAGTCCTAAATTTATTCATGGATTTCAGGTCCAGCGATCAATGCAAGTCCACTCAGTGGGCTCAAGGGGACCCAGTTCATCCCAGTTAATGTGTCTGAAGGGGAATTACCATTGATGCTGTTTTTTTCCCTTTAGGTCAGAGATCAGACCTTGCTGTCACGGACTGCGGCAACCAGGAATGACTTCACCCTGCAGCTACCCAAACTGCACCTAGAGACCTTTGCAGTGGAAGGGCTGAAGGGCAGGCCAGAGGTTGTAGCATTTCAGGTTAGAGTCTAAAATAATTCTGTTTCTTTTTTTGCCTTTTTTGCATCTGAAATACAACAAGAAGCGAGACTGCTCTGAATGTGTGGAGAACAAAAAGCTTCGAAACTATTGCAGTCAACAGTTGAAAGAGAAATAATTTCCATATATACTCTTGAATACGGTATTTCAGACATGATGTGAACTTTTAATTTTGCAGTTACAATGTTAAATAACCGACAGGAATGTGACCATGGAAGAATGCAAATGTTATATTTGAAAATTAATATCTTCTTGGTCAGTATCAGATTTTTCCGTGTTACAATTTTGGAAATAATAGTGATTTTTGAGCATTCCTAATTAAAAGAAACTGCTATTTGGAATACTTAAATATAGAAGCTATTTTGTTCATGTAGGTTTAAAGATTTGTATGTTTCAAAATACTAATTTCATTAGGAGGAAAGAATGGGAAAAAGAGAAATGAACTGAAAATGTACATATTTTCAGCTCTGAAAATGGACTGTGTGCAATGCCTCCTTATTGGTTTTAAGTTTGTTATATCTTCTTATACACGAACTATCCGTTAGTCTTTATAGCTGTGCAGAATGACTTCATTCTTGTGATACATTATTGCTAAAGGCAGAACATTTTGTTTTCTGAATGAGAGAACGAAAGGCAGCGAGTACATACTTCTTTCATTGTGCTCTGCTGCGTGAATCAGAGAGAGGAAAGCTAGTCATGTAAAGTGCAAGGAAGTCAGATAATAGAAGTATTGCATAGTGTGTGTACATTTCTGTAGTAATCCTTTTTAATGTATTGTTTATTTATTTATTTATTGCAGATTTATTGTCGATTTCTGTTCTAGATGCAGTATATAATTGCAGGAACAGGGTCACAAAATCAAACATTCAAGAAAGGTGGATTCTAAGCTGGACATTTCTCACTGTTGCCCACTTGCATGCATGCTTTTCAATATGATAAAGGTTTAAATTATGTGTGTATTATGGTGTTTCCATAATAAAGTAGTAATATGTAACACCTGAGATTCCCATGAACTTTGGCTAACGCGCCTGTACGTCTCTAGCAGAGGGCAGAGTTGCAAATGTTTCCCCAGTACAGTGATGATCACTTTTAAGGCTGTGCAAAAGGTTCCACAGGTGGCATCTTTTCAAAGAAGCTGTCATGGAAATCACCAGCTTTTAAATACTGCTCTTCTAATTCAGTGGCCTATTCAGTAATAGCTGCTTTTTTCTTTTTTTTTGGTCCCATCCCAACTCCCATTCTTTTTTGACCTCAGAATGATTGTAGAAGCATTTGCAAGACAGCCTATTCCTTCTTTCTTTCAGATAAGATGAAGAGAAACAGAAGCATGAGAAGTTGCATTTCACATTTGTACAGAGTGCTTGTGGTATAACTAACACATAGCAATGTGTGTGCTGGGTAGCTTACTGGTGGTGCAGTATTGTAAACACACTTTTTGTTCACCTGGCAGCTCCAATTACACATGGTTACTCTGTATGTACAAAAACAGAATCAATGGTTCAGAGTCTATGTCACCTTGCAGTTCCTTTTTTCCCCTCCCCTTCCCCTTCCTCTTTTTCTTTCCCTCTCCTTGTCTCTAGTTACATAGTGCCTGTTTGATAACTTTCTAAGTACCTTACAGAGATTTTATTATAAAATTCCCCTTTTATAGCTGGAGTCAGCTAATTGATTTTCATTTCACTGTATGCAAAACTATATTAAGGGCAATGATACAATCTTGAATGAGGTAAGCAGTTAGTAATCACTTTATGGACACTTCTTATTAAAACCAGTGGAATTGTTTGCATGCATGGTCTCTATAATGGCTACTACTACATGTATTTTATAGTTAGTCTGTGACAAGTACATTTCAGTTAAAGGCCTTGTTATCTGCAAGTGTTAGACATAAGAAGTTTTTTTCCAAGTCTAAATCTATTGATATTTGATGGTTTCTTTTAAAAAATTGCATAAAAATTAAGATCTTAAATTAGACAGTATGATAGGGATGAAGCACTGGCTATCAGAACTGTTGAGTACTCACAGAAGATTGCATTGTTTTACTTTTATTATTCATGCATCCAGTTCGTAGTAGGTGGCTGGAATCAGTAACGAATAATAATTTTATATCCATTGGTTCAGCGTACATCACTTTTTCATCATATGAGAGGAAGAAAAAAAGCTACTATATTTGTATGTGCATACACATCTTCATACGTTATCTTTCTTCCAAATTTTTCGGAAAGCAAGTGGCTCTTAAGGGCGTTTTGAATGAAATCTATCCTTAATTTATTTGATGGGCTCAGCAGCATTAGCGATCTATATAGCTTGTCATTGGGAATAGAGGAAGTCTTGGAATTTCTAAATTGCTGTTATCTCTATATGAATGTTTCTTGGGAAAAATATGCTTTCTTTATAGGAGACAAGCGCAGAGAAGATTGGCATAATGAACCTAAGTTGCTTGACTGTGAACTAAGCTATCAGAGATTTGCTTTTTTGTGGCATACTTAATTAATTATCTTGTAAAACCAGAAGGTTGTTTTTTCCAGTAAATGGATCCAACATTCCAAATACCATGAATGCTTACAGGGCTGATCAAACAAACACACATATAAAACCCCTGTCATTCCCAAATGAAATAGTTGTTAAGCTGTATAGGAGCCGGTGTGCATCTTTTAAAGAATGTGTTGTACACTCTAGGGGTAGACCTTTAGCTAATGAAATTAAATATTTGGGACAGAAAGTTCTGTGTATCTTCTCCAAAGCCTGCACTTTATGTAATGGCTCTTGAATTGCAAAATTACATAACAGATTGACATTTGTTATTCAACAGGAATGTCCTTGCACTGAGTGTCTTCGAAAGCCCCATGCAAGTAGTGAAAGTATGACTTAATTTGTAGGCATTTGTTAAATTCTTGGAAACTGTAACAAGAATTAATATAATAGTTTGAAAATGTCACTTGATATGGATAAGTAATGGAAAAAGTGCCATGTCTCAAAGAGTAAAATCATATTATTGCTATAGCCTTGAAATGCTCCCACCTGGTATTTAATTGCTGTGAAGGATGTTATGTCACAAAGTTGTACTGTTTGTTACTTAGTTAGGTTTGAAAGTGGAAAATACAGTATTATTTTCAAGCACCTGAAACACATGAGAACAGGATTTAAGGTGTGCTGTTCTGGCCATGCCTGAATGCTGAATGTTCCCACAGAAGACAAGAAGTGGAACTGTAGGTGACGCCTCCAATAAATACAGGATATAGGGTGAAAAAGAGCAACTGAAATAACATGGGATTCCTAATTCTAGTAGTCTAGCTTGGCAGATGGCTATTTAAATTAACAAGTAAAAGTTATCAGCTCTTTATAACATACAAAATTCAATTGTGCTACACCTTTAGGAAGAGGATCATGTTGTCTTAACTCTCTCTTCTGAAAGATGTTATTGGCTCACAGAAAAAGTGACAACATTCAGAAGATTCATTCTGAATTATCTCAGGTACTTTTACATCAAATATGTAATTAATACTCATGGCGAGCAATTTGACCTAAAAAACAATGCATAAAGTACGCAAATAAACCAGATAAGGTTTAAACATTCATGTATAAATAGTTAAGGAACTGTATACTCTCACAATAAATTTCTTCTGTTTGGAAATGTAGACACAGAAGGATGAGAACTGGTATGGAAGAAACTTCTTGAAGCAAATTTAAGTACCTCAGACTAGTTTTGCAGTAGCAATAGGATGTGTAATGTATACTTGATGTATAAGAGCTTGACTCCCAAACAGGGAAAAGCTAACAACATACAACTCAGTGGCTTTGCCCTGTGTACCTAGGTTATGCTCTCTACCTGCTGTTGCAGTTTGGTTTTACAGGAGGTACAGGAGCCTTTTAAACAAAGTGGAGGAGCACTGTTTTTATGGAGGATGTCCCAGATGTTCTAATACACAGAAGTAACAGATTTATTCAGTTATTGTCAGTGAAAAGCAATGGCAACAAGAAACTGTGGTTGTCGGAATCGTGTCCGCTGCACATCTGAAAGACGTGCATATGGCTGTGTGATCAGACAGCCACTGATGTTCACACGTGGTATCTGCCTGCAGATGTGCAATTAGGGAAAGAGTAGTCATCTTCTGTGTCATGGGAAATACCTTGACCTCTGTCTTCAAAGTCTCCATTTGCGTATTCTATTAATTGGCCGTATTAATTTGTGGTGGTTGCTTTTGGTCAGTATTTGGCATGGTGGGCCTCTTCCTCCTCTGATATCTGGTTGCTAAATGATGTGACTTCTGGATGTTAGTTTGAAAGAGAACCAATATTCACAGATGAACCTGTGTTGCAGTTTTACAGGATTTATATGAATTAGGGAATCCAAATGGGCAAGTTTTGTGAGGGACTTTAATGAGGATGTGAATATTTAGTGCATTTATGTGGTGTATGAAAAAGCAGATGTGAGGATGAGACTATAGGCAGGCTTCTGGTGTAAAAGAAGTGTGCATACATGTATCTGTATTTGTCAGTATTTATACATCTTAGGAGAAGGCATTTCTTTGTGTGCTACCCTTCAACTGAGATGTTAAGATTGACCTGACTGGTGGAAATCCCTTGCATATTAAGAAAATTTTAGTTTATTATAACCAAGGACTTGAGTAGGTAAATCTGTATTTTTTCATCGTAAGTTCTCCCTTAAGTTTGAAAGATACTATACAGTTGTGGTGTGCTTTCTCTCCTCCAGGTGGGTTTGAAGTGGGTAAGTTTTCACTTTGTCCTGCCTGTCATTGTCTCCCTCTCTTTTTGTCTCTCTCTCTGCCATGCGCTCTCACTCTCTGCTGTGTCCTCCCATGCGCACACTCCCCGCTGCAGGCCTGCTTGCTCTGCCGCACACTTGCTCGCTGCCGTGCGCACACCGCCGCACGTGCACTCACACTCTGCTGCTCCCCCTCTCCCTCTCCCTGCCATGCCTGCTCTCTCTGCGGCATGCACAGTCGTGCTTTTCCTCGCTCCAT